CTCTCCTCTCTCGTTCACCAGATTGATGAACTTGTTGTGCAAGCACTAACCAGAAAGAAGGAAATTAAGGTAATCAAATCCTTTGCAGATTTCCTGTCTGAAGTGCAATTGTCTTTGAAGCCATGGGTTTCTAGATTTCAGAAAGCTCTTTCTAATACATCCACAAGGCCTAAAAATACAATGGAACAACCACTGGAAAGTAAGGTAGTCCTAGTCCTTGCTGTTAAAAAGGATATGAGAAATGTTGTTGACAGCCCTGAACAGTGTAAATGGGATTCTCTAGTTTGTTCATCACCCCTAGTGTCTTGGCCTGGACAGTTTGATCCAAGAAGAATGGAGTCTAGAAGTGGATTAAGCAGCAATTTTATTGATTCTCCATTTCGTTCTTTTGTATCTAAGTTGGGCATGTAGGATCTACACGCTCCAGCTTACGGGGGAGTGTGAAGGTCCTACCTCCCCACGAGTTAGAGGTTCCGTAGATACGGATGTGACGGATGTGGCGGATGCACGAGATTGCACCGTAGCTAGGGCTTTGTTGCGGCGGAGTACCTGCCTTGCACAAGAATGGAAACGAGAAGTATGAGAAAGTTTGAGAAAGAAAGAAATCGAGTCAAGAGACTCAAGAGAAAGCAATCGAGTCAAGAGATTCAAGAGAAAGCAATCGAGTCAAGAGATTCAAGAGAAAGAAATCGAGTCAAGAGACTCAAGAGAAAGAAATCGAGTCAAGAGACTCAAGAGAAAGAAATCGAGTCATTGTGACTTTAAGAAACCTCCACAGAAAAAAGTATATCTTTTTACAAAAGAGTGTATATGTATACTTATCTATACTTATACTAAAGCATCATGTTCATTTGATTGCACGAGATTGCATATTGAGTATATGATTGCACTAGATTGCATATTGAGTATATGATTGCACGAGATTGCTTATTGAGTATATGATTGCACTAGATTGCATATTGAGTATATGATTGCACGAGATTGCATATTGAGTATATGATTGCACTAGATTGCATATTGAGTATATGATTGCACGAGATTGCATATTGAGTATATGATTGCACTAGATTGCATGTTGAGTATATGATTGCACGAGATTGCATGATGAGTATATGACAGCATGAGATTGCATAGAGATTATATGATTACACAAGGTTACTTATTGAATTATGTGTTAGCATGAGATTGCTACAGAGATGTTAGGTAGACTTGAGATTATTGATAAGTTAATTATGTGAAAGTATGAGATTGATGATAAGCTAGATAATTGTGAAAGCATGCCTATTTGATAATTAGGTTGCAAGCATTTAGAAACCCTGTTGAGCATGTTTAACTGTTGTTGAGTGATTGAGAATGATTGATCTAAGTATGTGAACCAAATGTTTTCCAAAAGTATATACTGTAGTACTTTACAGGGTTGAGTGGCGTTATACTTAGCTTCGTGCTAACGGGTTTGTTTTCTACTTGTTGTTTGTTAACCCCTTTCAGGTGAGCCAGTTCGTGAGAGAGAGTACGAGTTAGACTAGACTAGCATTAGTTAGCTTTTGTAGTCTAAACTCTTGATGTTGATTACTTTTTGAGACTTGTAGTTGACTACCTGTTGTTTTTTTGTGGTGCTGGACACCGGAGTTTATCCCCTAGTTTGATTGATGATTAGTAAAACTTTTAATGATTTAGTTTGTTTACCCTTAGCATGTGCAATCACCGTGAAGGGTGATTGTGGCGGTGACACCTCTACTAAGTTGTTTAGTAAGTTTATTCCGCTGCTTTAGTTTATCTTTAAAGGTTTAGTCTGCTAAATAAGTTTGAGAAAAGTGGGGTGTTACAATTGTGTTATCTCGTATTTGTGGACTATGTCGGGTCTGTGATTTTGATTGTCACAGGAAGTGGGATTTTTCCCAACAAAGTGGTATCAGAGCCCATGGTTGTTGATTGGGCATATTTGACATGGTATGTACGAGACCGGATATTGCTCATGCAGTAGGTGTTGTTTGTAGATTTCTCTCAATTCCACGGAGAGAACATTGTGATGCTTTGAAGTGGGTTCTGTGATATCTTCAGAGTACTTCAAGTCTGAGTTTGTCTTTTGGTACAGGAAACATATTGTTATCGGGTAAACTGATTCAGATATGGAAGGAAACATTGATATGAGGAAATCTACTTCAAGCTATTGGATTACCTATGCAGGGGGAGCAGTGGTTTGTTGTTGTATCGTTGGGATGACAATATCTTCCACATAGTCGGGAGGGGGAGTTTGTTGGGTTGAGCTTCCCTCCTATGTGGTAAAATAGCTCATGTTTGGACCAAGCCTTTTTGTGTCCACTATATATTTTGTTTGGACCTCCACTCATCTTGAGCCCTAATTATTATTATCATTATTATTATTAATATATAATAATATTAGGAATTATGAAGAGTTGGAAACTAAGGAGTCCTTCGGTATCTTGTGACCTTTCATGTTCTTCATTCCCTATAAATATGCTTAGGAATTTTGGATGCAAGATGGCCACTAGACACACACACATATGTTGATTGGTAGAGAGGAAAGGTAGACGTGAGGCAAGGCAGTGAAATAAAACAAATATTTCTTTTGCTTGCCTCTTTGTCTCCTTTGGTAGTTCGGCAGCAGCGTGTTCGGCGGGTTTCATTCTTTTGTCACATGTTTATTGCTTTTTTCGTTCATCAAATACTTTTGAGATGTCAGCTTGTTTGTTCTAGGAATCTTTTGGATAATCTTGTAATATTTGTATTCACTTTCATCTTGTTTGTGACGGTTGAATATTTTGAGTACGAGATATATTCCTTTTTGGGTCTGTGAACGTGATAGAATGTCTTTGGCCTAGAGTTGATGTATTTTGATGAGTTTTGGATGTTTGGCTCGTGTGGTAGCCAGAAACTTTGTACCCAAGATTTGTTATAGTGGAATTGTTGTTGGTGGTGGTCCCGTGGTTTTTCCCCGTAGTTTTGGGGTTTTCCACGTAAATCTTGTGTCATTTCCATTGTTATTTATTTTGGGATATTGTGTTATCTCGTATTTGTGGACTGTGTCGGGTCTGTGATTTTCATTGTCACAGAAAGTGGGATTTTTCCCAACAAATTTCAATCCGTCCCGGGATATCCACCCGAATTCACCCCGCATGAATCGAGTTTTTTTGGGTGATAGTGAGTGATGGGTCTTAAAAAAACTAAACCCGGTGGGTCGGATTTGATTCGGGTTCTATGTACAAAACTCGCCTAGAACCCCACCTGACCCACCAGGCCACCATGTGTGTGTGTGTGTGTGTGTGTGTGTGTGTCTCTCTCTCTCTCTCTCTCTCTCTCTCTCTCTCTCTCTCTCTCTCTCTATATATATATATATATATATATATATATATATATATATATATATATATATAATAGTGCAATACGTACTAGTATGTAGTTGTTTATAAAAAAAATTATAACATCATGTAACTTTTTATTATTTTTATATCTAAACTACTAATTAAGTTTATTTTTTAAAATTAACAATTTAGTTATTGTATTTAAATATTTATATTATTTTATATTTTAGTATCACTAATGAATTTTATTATTTTATTATGTGTAAGTAATTTAAATATTATTATTAAATATTAAATTAACAAAACTATATTTCCACACGGTTTAGACTTTAGGGGCACTAAGCTTTGCTTTCATTACTTGAAAAAGTTTCTGTTTCCACACGGTTTAGACGACTTTAGACTTAGCTTTAGGGACACTTATGCTACGCAAATTATGCTGTGCAACCGAATGCACCATGCGCATGGTGTATTCGATGCAAAACGACGTCGTTTTGGTTAAAAAACACGCGTCCCACTTAAAGAAGAAATCAGGTTCGATTTCCGGCAATAGCATTTTTATATATCCATAAATTCATAACTATATATCCATAAATTTATAACTATATATCTACAAATTCATAACTATATATTCACAGTGAATGAATGAACTAAATATCCACAATGAATGAACTAAATATCCACAATGATTGAACTAAATATCCATAAATTCATAACTATATGTCCAGAAATTCATAACTATATATCCACAGTGAATGAATGAAGTAAATATCTACAATTAATGAACTAAATATACACAATGAATGAACTAAATATCCAAAAATTCATAACTATATATCCAGAAATTCATAACTATATATCCACAATAATGCTATTGACGAGAATCGAATCTGAATTTTTTTTGTGGAACGCGCGTTTTTAATCAAAACGACATCGTTTTGTATCGTATGCACCATGCGCATGGTGCATTCGGTTGCATAGCATAACTATTGCTTATGCTATATTGCTATGCAAGGGAACAAGATAGGGATTAGCTGTCACAAGACTTGAAAAACATGAACCATATTAGTCATCACAAAACTCGAAAAGCATAAACAAGATTAGTCATCACAAGACTTGGAAATTAATGCATGCGTTACGTTGGAAGTAACTAGTTGGGCAAATTACATGGGCAACAAAGTCGTTACTGTCTGATAGAATGGTTTGCTTTAATTTGCAACGATCTTAATAAAGTCGTTATTGTTGGTCCCGTGGGCCGTGACAAATAAGTCTTGAAAGAAAAGTTGAATAGACTTTTATAAAAAAAAATATATGATTGAAAAAATTACTTGGGTTTCAAACACGTAAGTGTGCAGTAAAAATCAGCCAATGTGTGCTGGGCTTAGCTTTTAAAGGTTTTTATCGATCTCTATCTAATAATATTAAACTTGATCTTTACCGATCTCCGTTTAAAAATATATTTATATATTTTTACCAATTTTACTCTCAACATTTTTATTTTGTCAATCCTACACTCACTATATGTAAAGTATAAATATATAACTTTTATTTATTTTAACTTTTCTTAATTAATCACCTTAAAAAAAAAAAAAAAAAAAAAAAGAGTTTGTCTTTCATTCTTATCTTACTAACTTAAATGTCTAGGACAGAACATTAATACTTTGGGGTAGTCCAGGTACTATGAATATTTATGTTGATGCCACGGTTTTTGGTGATACTGATGAAGCTTACTTTGGGGTCTTTGTGGTGGATAGTAATGGGGAATTCGTAGCAGCTAAAAATGGCCCAATCCGTTGTTTGAGTGATGTTCATTTAGCTGAAGCACTAGCGGTGAAGGAAGCTTTATCTTGGGTTAAGGAGTTGGGTCTCACAAAGGTAATCTATCATCTATTCTGATTGCAAGAATGTTTGTAGGCTGCTAAATGGCACATCTCAGGATCTATCATATGCAGGTTGTGTTATTCGTGAGTGCCGATCTTTCCAACGACACTTTGATTTAGTGTCATTTCATTATGTTTCAAGATCAGTGAATAGGTTTGCTCATGCTTTGGCAAGAGCTACTCGTTCTCAGACTGGTTCTTCTTGTTGGTTGATTTCATTTCCTTCTTGTATTGAACATTTGCGTTAATGGAAGTTCCTTTGGTTTTCAAAAAAAAAAGAAAAAAAAAAAAAAAAAAAAAAAAAAAAAAAAAAAAAAAAACTTAATTGCTTGACGTACATAAAATATATTCATTCTTCCCAAAAGGTAGAATTCCCCATCCTTAAGGACCCCCACACCCCGACCCGACAGAGCATATGTGATAATGTAAATCATGGTAACTTAACTGAACCATAGAGGCAAGACATTTGCATACTGCGCACAAGGAGCCCCTGAGACTCGATCCCTGATCATTCTTTCCAAACTTCACCCTATGACCAGTTGAGCTGCCCATGCAGGCTACTTAGAATATATTCATTGTTGGCCTAGTGCCAATAAAATATTCTTGTTTTATTTATTATAGTATCAATTTTAAATGTCTAATTAAAACAAAAATAAAAAATTATCAGAAAAAATAATTTCCGTTTTCAAAAAGGTATAATAATTTTTTAACACAATATCTACTAAATTCAATGTAATTTTTAAAATTTGCGATATAATAATTTTCTTTATGAGTTAATTCTAGCGAATGTTCGTTGTTTTTGGTGGAAATTCTAATTTTAGTCTTAGATTATCATTTTTGTTATTTAACACCCCAAACTATTATATTTTGGATACTTTTGGTTCTTTCAATGACTTTTTCGGTGAAACCCTATTTTAAGCTGTGAGCATATAGCCATTAACGTGCAATCCGACTATCAGCTTAGGCTTTTAGTTGAGATGGAGCACATGTTTCAATTTGGTATCAGGACCAAACCAAAGGTCATGGGATCCAACTATCAGCTTAGGCTTTTAGTTGAGATGGAGCACATGTTTCAATTTAAGCAATGGTGTTTTCGTCTCTTTATTTTTATTAGGAAAAATGACACTTTCTCCCCTGAGTTATATGCTTATAGCACTTTTCCCTCCTGAGTTATTCATGCATCCACATCCACTGAAATTAACTCATTGAAAAAATAATTTAAAAAATTGAAAAGACTAAAATACATTTGCCTAAAATAGGATTTCACCAGAAAAATTGTCGAAGGACCAAAAGTGTCCAAATTATGATTGTCTAGGGTGTTAAATGACAAAAATAATAGTCTGGAACTAAATTTGAAATTATCACCAAAGATAAGAGATCTCCGGAATTAATTCTTTTCCTTATCACAAATCAAAATCTCATCTTTTAATAGTTATAACATTTTTATGTTTTTTTCATTTTTACTCTAAATCATAAAATTTTATTCTCTTTTATATTCATTGGACATTTTTTAATCATACAAAGTGCATGTTTGTAACTAGTAAATAAATAAAATTTGAACCAATAATAGAAAGTGATTCGTAATCTTCTGTAAATAATAATAATAATAATAATAATAATAATAATAATAAAAGAAGGGGTTACTTGGTACATAACAAGGTTCAAAAGGAACTGAAAATATACTTTCTCAATTTACTGAAATCTAATGAGTCAATATCAAACCCATAACTTCCTATGTGAGAAAGTAACTTCATGCCGCTTGACCACAAGGTCTTTTGGCTAGACTAGAGTATTACATACTCCTCAACTTCAAATAATGATAATGCGACTTTGAAAAGGATTGTGTATAATGTGTTTACACACTAAACTATCACACATAATATATCTCACAAAATGCGAATAACAAATTATTAAAAGAGAAATTAGTGTGATAATAAGAAATTATAAATTATCAGATATTAAAAAGTATTCGGGTACTTCAAAAAATTGTTCTATGTTTTTTGTCTTTTAATTTTACAATTTGCATTCTGTGATCTCTTTTATGTTTATAAAATTTGTTTACTTATATTCATTTTTTCAAATTTATTTTTAGACTAACTTTATAAAATTAACACAAATTTAATCGCGAGTAATTTTTAAAACTTATATTTAAAATATTTTTTGATATGTTTGGTTTAAATGAAATAAATATAATTTTTATTTTTAAGTCTAATATATGTAATATTTTTACATTTAATATCTAAACGAAATTTATATATGTACTAGTTTTTTACGCGCATTGCGCGCTTGGGATAATGCCCAATATTTTTTTAAAAAAATAATTACTTTAAAGTATATCAAGGCAAGATTATATTAGAATTGTTCATGCATAGATAATTGAATGTTAAATTTGCATATTTAAATAGACAATTTTAAATTTACAAATGCAAGATAATATAGTCAAGATTGATTATAATTGTCAATAAAATAATTGTATAGATATGGTTGAAACCAAATACGGGAAATAAGGAGAGCAAATAAAAATTAGGGCATAAAATATTAAATATATACTAATATTGAAGAGCTAACTGCTGATTGCCAAACAAGGATATTGCGAGATAGTTTCTCACTTCAATTTGTTGTGTGATTGAATACTCATTTTGTCAATATTTCCCCCAAGTAATTGCTATGATTGGCTTAATTATATTTTTTTATTTTTTTTTATTTTTTTAAAAACAATTGTTATTTTTATTATTATTATTATTATTATTATTATTATTATTATTATTATTATTATTATTATTATTATTATTATTATTATTATTATTATATGTATACCCTTAGGTCATTTTACATGTTAATCTAAACAGTTAATTTTTTCAAATATCTTTTTACCAACCGTTGATATAATTCGTTGGTCAAATTCGCTAATATAATCCGCTAACGCTAACCGCTAGCTGCTTATTGTCAAACAAGGACGTTGCGAGGTAGTTCTCACTTCAATTTGTTGTGTGATTTGAATACTCTCTTTGTCAACAAATCCCTTAAGTAGTTAATATGATTGGCTTTATTAATTATAATTTTTTAATTTTTTCATGGTATTAATAAAATACTTGGTAAATAAATATATAGCATTATTTTGTATTATAACTTTGATATTTAATTAAAAATAGTGTACAAAAAAAGATAATAGACAATGTAGTGAATATAATCAATTGATAAATTTGAATGTAAAGAATTTTTACATTGGAGAAATATAAAGACAATATAACTAATAAAATTATTTCTCTTAATTAATTTATTTATAATGAATAATTTTATTTTTTTAATAAAGACATTGTAGGGACAATGTAGCAAATATAATCAATTGATGAATTTGAATGCAAAGAATTTTTATATTGGAGAAAAATAAATACAATATAACTAATAAAATTATTTCTTTTATTTAATTTATTGATAATGAATAATTTTTTTTGAATAAATACATTGTAGACACATAATTCAAAATTAAAGAAATGCATATGTATTATTTTTTGTTGTAGCTACTACATTATTATTTCTACTATACTAATAAGAGCCCAAGAGAGTTAGGCCTATAATGGGTAGAAAAAATGGTGGTAAGTTTTTTAATCAAATGAATGGTTCAGATTGATCAGATTTTAATTTTTCCTTGAAATTTCCTAATTTATCCTTAATGAATATGATTATCCGTTAACTTTTCCGTTAAATATTAACTTTTTTCTGTTAGTTTCTGTTAGTTCACCGTTAACTTACTCATTGATTTTAATAAGAAAGGTCTCACGTTTGAACCCCATCCCAATCAAATTAAAGTTGGCATAATTAGTACTCTATTTTACTTTTATTAAATTAATTAATAATTTAGTAGCTACAACAAAAAATAATACATATGCATTTCTTTAATTTAGAATTATGTGTGTACTATGTCTTTATTCAAAAAAATTATTCCTTATCAAAATAAATTAAATAAGAGAAATAATTTCATTAGTTATATTGTCTTTATTTTTTTCCAATGTAAAAATTCTTTACATTCAAATTAATCAATTAATTATATTCACTACATTGTCTATTATCTTTTTTTGTGCACTATTTTTCAATTAAATATCAAAGTTATAATACCAAATAATGCTATATATTTATTTACCAAATATTTTATTAATACCATGAAAAAATTAAAAATTTAAAAAAACATAATTAATAAAGACAGTCATATTAACTACTTAGAGAGATTTGTTGACAAAGAGAGTATTCAAATCACACAACAAATTGAAGTGAGAACTACATCGCAATGTCCTTGTTTGATAATCAGCAGTTAGCGGATAACGTTAGCGAATTTGACCAGCGAATTATATTAACGGTTGGTAAAAAGATATTTGAAAAAATTAGCCGTTTAGATTAACATGTAAAATGACCTAAGGGTATACATAATAATAATAATAATAATAATAATAATAATAATAATAATAATAATAATAATAATAATAATAATAATAATAATAATAATTGTTATAACAAAATTAAAATATATATATATATAATTAAGCCAATTATATTAACTACTTGGGGGATTTATTGACAAAAAGAGTATTCAAATCACACAACAAATTGAGGTGGGAAACTATCTTGCAATGTCCTTGTTTAGTAATCAGCAGTTAGCCCTTAAATATTAGTATATATTTAATATTTTATGCCCTAATTTTTATTTGCTCTCCCTTATTTCCCGTATTTGGTTTCAACCATAAGCATACAACTATTTTATTGACAATTATAATTAATCTTCTCCCAATTATAATTAATCTTGACTATATTATCTTGCATTTGTCAACTTAGAATTACCTATTTAAATACGCAAATTCAACATTTAATTATCTATGCATGAACAATTCTAATATAATTTTGCATTGATATATTTTATAGTACTTAAATATATAAAAAAAAATAAAAAATAATAAAATTAATAAAGCCAATCATATTAACTACTTGAAGGATTTGTTGACAAAGAGAGTATTAAAATCACACAACAAATTAAACTGAGAACTACCTCGCAATGTCCTTGTTTGACAATTAGAAATTAGCGGTTAGTGTTAACGGATTATATTAGCGGATTCGACCAGCGAATTATATCAACGGTTGGTAAAAAGATATTTCAAAAAATTAACTGTTTAGATTAACATGTAAAATGACTTAAAGTAGTTACCTTGATATACTTTATAGTACTTATTTAAAAAAAAAAAAAAAAAACATTGGGCATTATCTCAATCGCGCAATGCGCGTAAAAAACTAGTAATTTAATAAGAGTAAAATAAAGTACTAAGGGAAAATGACACTTTTTCCCCCTATGTTATATACTTATAGCACTTTTTCCCCCTCAATTATTTATGTAAGCACATTAGCCCCCTCAATTATTTTAAAAGTGGTGGTTTTCTCCCCTAATATATTAAATTGACATTTCTACCCTTAAAGTAAACATTTTATTTATTTTACTTCTCCAACAAATTATTGCGTATATGTAGTGATTACCACGGTTCGGTTCGAACTGAACCAGACACTATAGCAATCGAATTAAAATTCAGATCTAGAACCTAATATTTGGATTTCAATTTATTAAATTTAAGAATAATAAAAAAAAACTAGATCATGAACCGACGGTTCCGGATCTCGTTCGCGATTTTGAACCGTCTTTATTTTAAAATTTTATTTTTTATTTTAAAATAGTTTAAATTCAACAATAAATGTATTTTATTTTTTCAGTTTGGAACATGAACCGCCCATTCCAGTTCGTGATTTTAATAAACTCTAAATATCGCGTTTTGATTATAAATTGTAATTGGAATATTTTGGTTTGGTTACTATAGTATCTGGTTTGAACCAAATTATAGTAATAATTTATTGGAGAATAAAAATAAATGAAATATTTATTTTAAGGGTAAATATGTCCATTTAACATTTCAGGGGGGAAAAGAGCCACTTAAATAATTGAGGGGAAAAAAGTGCTATAAGTATATAACATAGGGGGAAAAAGTGTCATTTTCCCAAGTACTAATTATGCCAACTTTGATTATGATGAGGTTCGAACCTAAGACCTTTCTTATTGAAATCAATGAGTAAGTTAACGGTGAACTAACAGAAATTAACAGAAAAGATAATATTTAACGGAAAAGTTAACGGATAATCATATTCATTAAGGATAAATTAGGAATTCTCATGGAAAAATTAAAATTTGATCAATCTGAGCCATTCATTTGATTAAAATCTGTGACCGCCATTTTTTCTACCCATTATAGGCCTAAATCTCTTGGGCTCTTATTAGTATATATATATATATATATATATATATATATATATATATATATATATATATATATATATATAATAGATAGTAGATAGTAGATATAGTAGATATAACATAACTAAAAATATATCTTAACCAATAACCCATTAAGTCCACCTACCTAAAATTTAAGTTAGATAACATTAAACTTTAAGGTAATATTTAAAATATTTTTAGATATATTCATTTGAATGAAATATATATATATATATATATATATATATATATATATATATATATATATATATATATATATATATATATTATACTTCTTTTACTTTGAAGTCTAATATATGTGAAATTTCAAAATCAGATATTCGGACCAAACTTATACTTCGTATTATGATATAATATAGCTAAAAATATTTGAACCAATAATCTATTGAGTTCAATCAAAATCTAAAACTTGATGTAGGGTTCAAGTTTTAATTTTGATAATGTGAATGATGCCTAACTTTAACCTTATGTAAATGCAAGTAGAAAAAATAGAAGATTGTGATAAGTAAAAGAAAATGATAATGAATATAATCATAGTAATAATATATAAGGAGGATAATTGTAAGAATGTGATTATAATGATATATTGCAAAATTGATGACATAGATTTTGTTTTTCATTTAGAAAACCGTGTTTAAAAGTAGAGTTAATGAGCGATTTGGTCCCTCAATTATTAGCGAACTGTCAATGTAGTCCATCAATTGCTTATTTATCGATTTGGTCCCCGAAAACAATTATTTTTAGTAGATTTAGTCGCTTAGGCCGTCTTCCGTCGACGGTCGGAGGGACTAAATCGATTAAAAATAATTGTTTTCGGGGACCAAATTGATGAATAAGCAATTGAGAGAGTACATTGACAGTTCGCTAATAATTGAGGGACCAAATCATTGATTAACTCTTAAAAGTATTCCAGCCAGTTATCTAGAAAACTGGAAAATATTTCCAATTTTCAAAATAGAAAATTGTACTAGTTAACATGTTTTTTGTTTTTAATTCTCTAATCCGATCTCTATTTTTCCAGAAAGCTAGACAAATTTTCTAATTAATAAATGAGCGTGAGTGTTGCAAAATCAGAAAAATAAAAAATTTAAAGTCCTTGGGGGCAAACAAAACTATGTTTCCACACGGTTTTGACTTTAGGGGCATTAAGCTTTGATTTCATTACTAAAAAGAGTGTCTGTTTCCACACGGAACTCATGCTATAATTCATATAATCATATATATATGCTTATTCATATTTCAGAAATTCTACACCTCAACAACAAACAACTTAACTCTGCTCGATCATAAAATGATGATTATTCTGATGTTTAACATGCTTCTGTTCTTTTCAAATTTATTCACAATAATAAATGTAATGCATGTGGTATCAAGTGAGTGCAATCTGGATGAAAAGACTGTGCTTCTCCAGATACGAAGGGAAATCACTTACAATTCTTCTGCATCCACCAAGCTGCATCTCTGAATGGAAACAAACTTTCTGGTCATATAAATGAATTACGAAATGTGACTTCTCCACTTGAATCTCTTGATTTGAGTAGAAACAACTTAGAAGGGACAATACCTTTGTTCTTCTTTCACCTTCACAATCTTACATCACTAGATCTTTCATCAAACAATTTTTTTGGTCAAATGATTGATTTGCAAAATGTGACTTCTCAATTGCAAACTCTTGTTTTGAGCGACAACAACTTGGAAGGGACAATACCTTCGTTCTTCTTTCAACTTCAAAGCCTTACATCACTTTTTCTATTACTAAACAATTTTTTTGGTCAACTGATTGATTTGCAAAATGTGACTTCTCCCCTTGAATTACTTGATTTAAGCTACAACAACTTGGAAGGGACAATACCTTTGTTCTTCTTTCAACTTCAAAACCTGACATCAATAAATCTTTCATCAAACAAATTTTTTGGTCAAATGATTGATTTGCAAAATGTGACTTCTCCCTTGCAATATCTTCATTTAAGTAGCAATGACTTTGAAGGGACAATACCTCCATTCTTATTTCAACTTCAGAATCTTACCATGCTCGATCTTTCGTCCAACAAATTTAACGGTATTGTACATCTAACAAAATTTAAAAACCAGTATATTGACATTCTTGACTTTTCCAATAACAATTTGGTAATTGAGACAGCCATAAGCACATCACAATTTCCCTTACTCCCTCAGTTTGGAGAGTTAAATTTGGCCTCCTGCAATTTGCAAAAAATTCCTGATTTTTTGAAAAGCCAATCTAGATTGTGGTGGTTAGATCTTTCCAACAACTCTATTAGTGGAGAAATTCCTAACTGGATATGGGGAATTGGTAATGGGCAACTCTATGGCCTCAATCTTTCTCACAACCGTTTGACGCATATGAAAGAGCCAATCGAATACGGTTCTCTTACTGTCCTTGATCTAAATTCTAATATGCTAAGTGGACAGATTCCGCGACCACCACCTGAGGCAATGTATTTAGACTTCTCCAATAACAATTTCTCCATCATTCCTCTTGATATTGCTGATCAAATCCCATATCTCTTTGTGTTCTTTTCCATTGCAAAAAATAGAGTAAGTGGAAAGATCTCAACTTCCTGGTGTCGAGCAGCCAATCTTATAGTGCTTGACTTGTCCCACAATGCTTTGCATGGCACAATACCATCATGTCTGGCTCAAAATAACAGCAATCTCGTTGTATTGAATCTTAGAGGAAATCATTTAAGTGGTGAGATATCACAGAAGTTTCAACACACTTGTTCTTTAGAGACATTGGATCTTAGTCAAAATCTCTTAGAAGGGAAAGTTCCTCCCTCCTTGATCAACTGCACAAAGCTTAAGATCTTAAATCTTGGAAACAACAAAATAAGTGATACCTTTCCTTGTTGGCTCAATAAACTGTCAAATCTGCACATTCTTGTATTGCATTCCAATCATTTTCATGGAAGCATTTCTTGTCCCATGCTTGGGGTAAACAACAGCTGGCCAAGTTTACAAGTCATTGACCTATCTTCCAATAATTTCAATGGACATCTACCAACTGATTTATTCTTGGCATTAAAAGCTATTTTGGTTGAGAGGAATGAATTAAACTCAAAGGTTGATTACTTGCACTTCACATCTCAAGGAGTTTCGATTTACTATCAAGATTCAGTCATACTGTCTCTAAAAGGACAAATTTACACTATACAGAAGATTCTATCTATCTTCACTTCTATTGATTTTTCAAGTAATCAATTTGAAGGCAGTATACCAGAGAGTGTTGGAGAGCTTAAACAGCTTTATCTCCTTAACATCTCTCACAATGCCTTAACTGGCGATATTCCTCCATCTCTTGAAAACTTGAAAGCTTTGGAAGCACTGGACCTCTCATTCAACAACCTTGCTGGAAATATCCCAGAGCAGCTTGATAGCCTAACCTTCTTGGAAATCCTAAACCTATCCTACAACCATCTTGTTGGAAGGATTCCAAAAGGCAGACAATTTAATACTTTCGATGCAAGCTCATTTATGGGAAACAAGGAGCTATGTGGATTCCAACTTAATGTATCTTGCACTGGGATCAATGAACCAACATCTCCAATACCAGAACCGGAAGAAAAACAATCATCTCACCACGTTGATATCTACATTAGCGTGGCATTAGGATTTGTTGCAGGTCTAGGAGGAACCTTTTTGCCACTTTTGCTATCCAGCAAATGGAGATCATATTATAACAAGAAGATCGATGAAATTCTGTCAAAGATATTCTTTTAGAGAGGTCAAGGGAGGAGAAAGAAGTCTCGTTAGCAATCAACAGGTGTTGTGCTTATACTCTTCTTGTCAACTACCTACTTTGCTTGGGTAAAGTTGTTTTTACCATGTGTGATTGTTCCACTAGTTGTTTGTAGGCTTGGATGCATGTCCTTGTGCTTGCCTTTTATGTTTATTTTCTCCTAATGTATTTTTTATTTTCTATGTATGATTTTCTTAGGTGCAAAATGTTAAATTTCTTACCCTACACTCTGGCCTTACAAGAATTATTGTGGATGAGTTAAATTATAGTGACTCAACGGTTCCTTAGGTGGATGACTAATACCCACAAGAAGTCATCCTCACGGATTGGTTCCTAAGTGACAGATTATCAAATACTGACAACTACAATGTGAGAGTTTCACCCACTTGTTTTCTAGATTGTATAGTGTTGTAATGTCTATTTACTGTCATAGATTTTGTTTTTGTTCAAATGTTCAATTGTGCCTATATATGTCAGCAAGTCTTGGTTATGAACTTAGAGCATCTATATCAACAGTTTTTTTGAGGGTTTTGTCAGTGAAAAAATTTGAGTGTGATGCACATAAGTGATGTGGTGACCAAATTTTGGAGAAATTTGAATTACAACTCTTTGGCTATGATATCAGCAGTTTCATAAGAGTTGTAGCCCTTTGAGTCTTCTTTCCAATGGCGCAAGAATTGCTTGAATCCAACATTCCTAGGATGAAATATGATCAAAATACTAAGATGTCGTCATATTTAGTGGGAATTACAACTCTTTGGTCTTTTGCTCCACTTGCCCTTCATACTCCTACTATAGACTACTATAGACATAAAATTGTATGCAAAGATCAAATAGGTCTTTTGTTTGGCTTGTAACGGGGCTAAGGGTTAAATGCTAACAAAGAAGGGTATAGAAAATTAACAAAAGAGAGAATGTCACAATTATCTACTTAAAAAAAAAAAAAAAAAAAAAAAAAAAAAAAAAAAAAAAAAACAAAGAAGAGATTACATCTAATGAAGTGAGGGTTTAATACAAACTTTCAAACAAGTGATTACAAATTTCAAACTCTTATTCTTCATTTCTTTCTCTCTCTTTTTTTTTTCTTTTGAAATAGGCACAAGGGTCAAATAGGCCCATCTACTACTGCGAAGTGCTCAATTTCCACCACGAACTAAATTAAGTGTCAAATAGAACCATCTACGAGTTAAATTTGTTCATCTAAACCCTATTTACCGGTAACCAACAAGTTACCGGTAAAAATAGGATGACATGGCAAACCTTGCTTACATGTGATATTTTTATTATTATTTTAAAGTAAAATCAAAAATTATTGTATGCTTCGTATAAAACTTCTCCGGTCTTGAGATCATCACCGTCGACCGGTGACCACGGACCACCGCTGGGTGCCATATTGCCGCCGCTAACCATTGTTGAACATCTTCTTCAATATGTATTTTCTATTCAAGACACAAATATTTTACCTTTTACTCTATTATTCATTAGCATTTTTTAATTATATGCAAATTTGAATCTGGTAAAATAGAAACTCCAGCAAGTTTCTTGAATAAATATACATCAGAAATTAGTAAATCATAGAGAATTTATAGACCCAACGAGAAAAGGGATTGTAAGTGCCTTTGATGGGAAAATCAGCAATGCCAGAAGACTACAAGATTCTACCGTCGTGAACATGATTTTGCTCTCCAAGTTCACTTATCTCAACTCCATGACTGGTTGTAAATGCCCTCTCCAAAGTGAAACTCTACGCATCTTCGCCGCATAGCACCATTGCTGTGAGGCGACGACCGTTTTGTCTTCTCTAGACAGAAGAAGGCAGCTGTCGTGTAACCTTCTTCAGATCTGAAGAAGGTGACTGCCCCTTCGCCTTCTTTGGATGTGACCACCGCGTTGCTTTTTTCGAATAAAGAAGGCGGTGCCACCAAACTCCAGTGCCGGCATGATTCGAATTTGATGAAGAGATCGATGAGCTAGGAGATCATTGAGGAAGATGATGAGCAGAGACGGTTAAGGAAGATGATGATTTATTATTGACCATTTTCCCTTTTTTTTTTAATAATTGAATTGGTAACCTCCAAAAAAAAAGTCAATTACCTACAAAAAAAGCTAATTGAACAAATTTAGTAGGTAAGTGTGGTTAATTAGCTTTTAATTTAGTTCATGGTGGAAATTGAGCACTTGACAATAGTACATGGGTCTATTTGACACTTCTCCCTTTGAAATATAACAAACTAACAAAGAAGCAAATAACTTTATACAAATGATCAAGACCCCCACACTTAAACATTTCTAAGAAAAGATTGCTTTCTAAATACAAGTTCTATAAAACTCTCTTCTACAAGACTATCAAAGATAAATGTTACATTCTCTCAAGGGTGGAAGGAAACATATTTGGCTAAAGGCTAAGGGTTTGATGATGAGGGTTAAACAAGAAAAATTCACAAAGAGTGGATTAAGTGTTTAGTACTTATTAAACAAAGAAAAAGGGCTCAAAGGGGACACAAGGGATAAAAACATATGAGGTGGGTAGGTTTTAAAAGCTAGGGGTAAACAAAGATGACCTAAATCATTTCTAAGCATGCAAAAAATTAGACTACACTTAAAGAATAATGAGGCAAGTTCTAGTAAGTCACCAAATGCAGCAATGCCGAAATTCCACATAAACTTTCACTAGCAAAGCACTAACCACTAGATTAAGATTTAGTTCAATTATTAATTAACAAGAATTAATATTGGCAAGGGAATAGCTCAATTGTGTGCTACACCTTGATTTCATCAATGGCACATTGAAATGTAGCAAGTTCCACCAAAACGATCCATAAACCCACAAGAGAGAGTAATCATAACTACAAGTATAGATAAGCAATTTATCAAACACAAAGCATATGAGTCATTCAAGCAAAAATTTTGAAAATTACCTCAATTTGTATCTCCTACCCCACACTTAAAAGTTTACATCGTCCTCGATGTAAAAATAATAATAAAAAAATAATTTAAAAAAAGCACAATAGATAAAGCAATAAGAACAATAGGGGGTAGGATAAAGTGGGATTGACTGAACAAGATAATGCAATAAAGCACAAGCTAGCACAAGGAGCAAGAGAAAGATAATGGGACTCCCTTAATGATTCTTCTATGCACATCAAGAGCCATCACGAAGCCTCCTCGAGTTAAGACCTAATCCTCAATATGGATCTTATGAACCAAGGGAATATACACATGTAAGCACAAATGTATGTGGGGCATGACAAAATAAGGAGAGTAAATTTATGAGACGAAATAAACTAAAGTGCGTTAAATAAAAGCATAAAGAAAAATAAGGAAGAAAAAAAAAAAACTAAATTGCAAGCAAATTACACTTTTGGTCCTATGACTATAGGGGGCATGTTAATTTCAGTCCGTGACTTTTAAAACTAACAATTTAGTCCTTTAACTATATTTTTTTTAACAGATTTGGTCCTTTCGTCCAAATCACCGGTGGAAATTGACTGAAAATACGTTTGTCATTTTAAATTAAATATTAGGGGGGTAAATTGGTCATTTTGAGTGTTAAAAATAAGATGAAAATTGCTTAAATTCCTCGAGGATCACGACCACCAATGGACCCGGCGCATTCGATGCCGACAATGTGTTCAAGTCGTTGGAGAAGCATGCCGAGGAGCGCCGCCGGAAAATTGAAGCTTAGTATGCCGCGATGAATGCTAACGACGATGCTCTTGTGAGATCAGCCGTGAGGAATCGTTCCGATGACGATGATAGCGATTTGGAAGCTAAGGCAGTGATGGTGGCGGAGCAATGCAGAATGGAGCTGCGGATGAGAAGAAGAAGGAGAAGCAAAAGAAGCCGAAGGTCACTGTGACTAAAGCCACCGCCAAGATAGATGCCGATGATCTATCGGTTATCCTTGCTAACGTTTCTGTGAGATCATTTGTTGCTGATTGATTTTTATATTTACTCTGAACCATTGGAATTGTGTGTTTTTCACTTTTGGTTCAGATTTATTTTATACATGCCTGATTTCAAGGCTTAATTTTGAGGGACTGGGATGATGTTCTCGAGACAATCGAGAGCCAAGTGTGCAAGGAAAGAGGGAATGGAGATCTGGAGAGGTTTTGTACTGAGCATTTGGGATTTCAATGCCTTCAACAGTTTGGTGATGTCGCTGAGACAAACTCCGGCCAGCATAACCCCCAAAAAAAAAACTCCGGCCAGCAGGTGAAGGATGAGAAAAAATGAACCTAAAATGACCAATTTGTCCCTATTATTAAATAATTTAAAATGACAAATGTATTTCCGATCAATTTCCACCGGTGATTTGGCAGGGAGGACCAAATTTGCTATAAAAAGAAAAACAGCATAGTTAAAGGACTAAATTGTTAGTTTTAAAAGTCACGTACCGAAATTAACACGCCTCCTATAGTTATAGGACCAAAAGTGTAATTTGCTCTTAAAAAAATGCATGAAAATGAAAGATAACATGTGGTGCCTCTCATAAGCACTAAGTTTGACGTCGTTAGCTCGATGCAACCTCTCAAGTGCTAACCATCAAAAGATGTGAGAATGAAAATCCCCTTCTTTTCATCAATTTTCTCTTTCAACTATATCTTCAAGTGATGTTCATATATAAACTCTCTTAAGCTCAAACCCTTCATATCATCATGTAGGGCACCACATTCTCCCAAATCAAGAATTATGCCTTCATTATCTTCAACCAACAAAGCTAAAAGAAGCTCTTTGCCCATCATACCATCTAGAATATATACTTTATTTTTCTATCTTCCTCCTTTTTCAACACTATGTTGCTCTCAGTCATCCACATGAACCAACAAGAATTGAAAGTCATTAGATATAAAAATGGGTAAATGGGGTCCAACACTCTCAATAATATCAATAACTCCCGGCTCCAAAACTCTTCTAAAATCTTCATCCAAGGGAATATCATCTAATGAAGGGCATTCTTTGTTTGTGCCACATGTTTCATCTTCTTTGAGCACTTTTTCTCTTGAGTCATTTTCAAGTAGATCCTTGTCACCATTTTCTTGCATTTTCACATCATCTTCTTCTCCACTTAAAGTCTCTATCTCAATGCATTCATCAAATATTTCTTCGTCTTCCTCACCAAGGTCCTCACCCTTCTTTTCATTTTCATCAACCTCATGACCTTCATTTGGCAAGAGCAACTCTTC